TAGCGCTCCAGCTCTAAGTTAATGAACCATAAATTCCAGCTTAATGAGTTTTATACTGAGGAGAATAATTAATGTAATTAGTGCTGATATGAAAGTGATGGTACTTGAGCCTGAATTACAAGGGGAGGGGAGACTTGGAGGTGTGAGGAAGCCTGAAGAAAGCTCATTCATTCCGTGGTGCTCTTCACCCAGAGAAATGGGGCTGGATATATTCCTGGCGGATTTCAAACCTCACCTCCCATTCACCATAAAGAGAAAGAAAATAGAGCATGACACAGTATAGCTAAAAAGGGGTCTGCCATCCCTGTTTGCTGAGAGGTGGAATCTATAATGCAGCTCTTTCCTGTGCCATCCTTTAATTTGCAGCTCCCGACTCCCCTCCATACTCACAGTATACTGTCTGCCTGCCACTGTCTGCACACTGCCTGTCTTTCCCTTTTGTACAAAAAGCTCTGTGTAAAGGTGGCCCGTGCCAAGGACAAAGAAAATGCTCCTTGGTTGTATAAGCATTTTCACATAGGCTTTAGACATTTAGTGTGCTCCAAGAGGCAGTAAGAGCAGTATTTTAAATTCTGTTTGTATACATCCACTCTGTATACACATTTCTACATACAAATTTCTATACACACATGGGTCCCTGCAAAGCCGCCCATTGTTTTGGCAGCCCATCTCCCCCAGAGTGACCAGTGAATAACACTGCCTTTCCATGGGGTCATTCAGCGCAGACAATGCAATGGGGGGGAACCTTCAGAACCCCCAGTCCCCATCCAGCCATTCGTCTGCCCCAGCCTGGCACCCCAGGTCTGTACTTGAGGTGGAGCCGCTTTATTAAAAAATATCCCGGGGAGTTTTTTCATTCTCTGAACGAGTGCCTGGTGCTAGAAATCCCCTAATTGCATATTGATTAAATCCGTCTGATCGGGCACTTCTGAGAAAGCGCCAGCTTGGTGCTCAGACTCACAGGGCTCCCCCCGCCGTGACTTCATGTGTGCACACACGTGTGTGATTGAGATTATATATATATATATGGATATTTGCATATATATGGATACTTTATATATGGATATTTATCCTGCGTGGCCCAACGGGTCATGCAGGTGGATGGTGGATGCCTGCACCCTCAGCCCCACCACATTGCCATGACTGGCCCCATCTTTTGCCCCGTTTCCCCTCTTTTTTGCCCCGTTCATTTCCTCCCAGCGGGGCCGAGGAGGCTGCAGCCGCAGTTGCCGCCAGGACGCACTTTGGGGCCAGACTGGTGCCACCTCCAGCGCAGGCCCCGGCTGCCAGGGCACTCTGCTTGCAGGGAGCTGGTGGGAGGGGAGATGGCAGCTTCCCTGCACAGGGAAGGTGCCAGTGAAGGTGAGGAGTAAACTGCGTCCGTGCTGGGGCGAGGGCAGAGCCGTGGTGCCGGAGTGCCCCGGCCCGTGCCTCGCTGCCCACCTGGGCGCCCTCCTCTGTGGGTATTGGAGTTGTGGGTCCCTGACAGTGTGGTATCCCGTGAAAAATGCAGCATGAAATGCAGATTGAACCTGTCCCCAGGTAGAGGCAGGCAGTAAACAGGGCATGCTGCAATGAAAAATGCAGCATGAAACGCAGATTAGAGCTGTCCTGAGGACAGCAGTGGCAGCCAGGGCAAGCCCAGCCATAGCTCCAAGGAGCATTGGGGAGGCAGGAGGCTGTGGGCATCTGGGGACACGTGGGGACGATGAGTGTCCTAAGTGCAGCAGTGCTGGGAGGAGGGAGCAGATCAGACAGCTCACACAAGTGTCACAGCCACGAGAAACATTATTATAACTCTCCAATTCACTTTTATTTGAGTTCCGTGGTCAGACTTGTCCACCTGCAAGAGCTCTTGTGTCAGTACCACCACTGTGCAGGGCAGAGTTTGCACCACCTCACACCCCAGTGAAGGGCACAAGTGGCTTCATGTCACCCACCACTAAGACACAGAAACCAAACACCACCTTCTCCCACAGGCTGCTAGTGCATTGGATGCACGCTCACAGTGTACCAGCTTCCTCAGCAATCCATCCCAAATAGCCTTCCTGGGTGGTTGTGTTCCAAGGAAAGGTGTCTTGTCAGACCAGTTAGGTGGTGGCAGGAGGGGACCGCGCTTATCTGCAGTGCTGTGGCAAGATTTCTGTGTCTGTGAGGCCAGCACAGATGCAGGAAGCTTGTCATGGAGCAAGCTGGGGTCCAACTCTGGCAACAGGTCCAGCAAAGCTTGGAAAGAGCCCTAGGCAAGCATCCTGCAAACATTCAGGAATGGAGAAAGGAGTGAGTGCCCTTAACCAGAGCTCACTTGATTGTACTCTGTCTCTTCAGTCAGAGTTTTGTCCCTTCCCTAAGGTGCGAGGGAATCTGTGTTTGTGTGGAGTTTCTCTTCTGGCATTTTAAGGGAGACTAAGCTTTTTGGTACCATTTTTACTGAGCAGGGAGAATATAAAAGGGCAAAGAGAAGCAAGATGTTCCTAAGCTTAGTGTGTGTACTAGCATGCTTTTCAGAGGCTGAATTTTCTTTCCTTTTTATTTTATTTTTTTTCCTTTCTAAGGAAGATTGAGATCCTTCTGCTCTGCCGAAAAGCACAGAAAAACCTTTTGTGGTCATCTTTTGGGCAGCTCAAATTCAAAGCAGCACAGGGTAAGTGCAATTTTTCTCTCTTCTCCTTCCCTTTCCTCACCAGAGTACTGTTCTGCAACCAAGGACAGCAGAGGGAACCACCTCTGCTCTGCACCTCCTGTAGCAAACATTTTAACTAGCTTGTTTACTCATGCACCTGAAGACCTGACCATATCCTGCTTCTCATTTACATTTTCAGATCTGTCTGAAACTGCACCAGGCAAAGGTTCCCAATCAAATCTACTTTAATTGCTGCCATCCTGGCAGCATCCTGCTATTACATGCATGCAAACAGGGAAATGTGTAATAGATTTTTGCGTGTGTTTTTTTTCCAGAGTTAGGAGTGTTGGGCTGACTCCGGGATGTCAGCAGCCCCTTGATTTTCCAACATGTTCTCACCTTTCCAAGCAGGGTGACCAAAGACAGATTTAGTAGTACAGAATAGAGTTTCTTTGCTACATCAATGTGTTGACCATGGCTTTTGTTCACAGCAAACCAAATTTTCATCTCTGTGGTAAGCAGAAAGTCCTCCATGATATATTGAAAAGAAAGCAAGAGGGAAAAACACATTATTTGGATTATGACATGTTGCACTTGAGACGATTGGTGAAAGAAAATGTGTGGCTGAATTCTCTGGAAATGGACGGAGAAAATGTGAATCCACATGTCTCTAGAAAGAGTTCAGTCAGTCAGGATCAAAAGAATAGCATTTCAAAAGTCACATTTAATACCCTAAGGCTATACCTGTAGAGTCCACTGACCTCCAGGCACTGGCACGTACAGAAAGCTGCTATGCCATTTTGAGACATTGCCAATTTCAGGTTGGTCAGGAAGCGTGTCAGTGCCCTTTCATCCATACCTTGCCCCAGGAAGCAGAGTCAGGTAATCCATCTGATACAAGAACCTGTTGGTCTAGCAGAGACCACCTCCCCATATTGCTCAGCCATTTCCCACTACAGAGGGGAAATCACGTCATTGCGGCCAGCTATCGTGCCGTGTCCACAAAGCGCTGAGTGGCAATGTGCACCAGGAAGCAGGGGAAGAAAGCTGGGAAGCGTGGGTTGGGTGCATTGTATAGCAGGTGAGAGGCTGGGGGTGGTCTTTGAGCATGGCTTCATCCCCACACAGTAATATATTCACAGTACTATATTAACATATTGCCTAAATGTAATATAAATCTCTCTTTCATATACAGGTCTATTCATTATCCTGCAGGAAATCCACGAGGTAGTGTGAACACAGATGTGCTTCTCTGTGGAGGAAGTGGAACAAGCAGGGTGAGTCTTGAGCCTACTTGAGGGGATGGGACCAAGGAAAGTGCATAGAATAACTATAGCTGCTTAGAATCAGATATACAAAAATAAAACAGTGGTGCAGTCTGCTGGTATGGCAGGAGCTGGGCTGATTGCATCTGACATGGTATGTTATGAGGAGGCTTCCATCGTGCTGATAGCTTCATTTCATGTTTATACAAGTAACACTGAAACTTGGTTTGGTGTCTGGGCACCAAACGTTTGGTCGCCTTCTCTCCTTCCCACACGTACATCATTCAAGCATCCTCATATTCTCCAACGTGATGTTAAATGTGCAACATCTGCAGAAGGCAAAAGACCCAACCCAAGGCAAAGGAAAGTAAATGCCCTTTTGCCAGGAAGGCACATCCCCTTGTTCAGAACTGTCCCAGACTTCAACTCTTCTATGCCATACCTGGGTGAAACAGATGAAGATTACCTTGAAACCAAGCTCTTTTACAGGTTTTTCATTCTTTTTTTTCTCCTCTTCTTTGCTTTTATACATATATATATGTGTGTGTATCTATATTTATTTTTCTTCTAATACAAGTGAACACAAATGTGATGTGAAGATAAATTCCCAAATCTAAAACACTTTGTGGTTGCAGGAATATACACCTTTAGATTTACACACACACACACATTCCGAATATCAAAAAAAAATGTAGTCCTAAAGCTGAGATGCTTTATACAAAAAAAAAAGGCCAGATTCCTCTGTTGGCTTTATCCTTCATTAAGAGCTAGAAGATTACCTGAAATCGTGATTTATTCTTCATATTCTGCCTGAGTTCACTTTAAAATTCCAATCAACAGATTCAGGGAAGAGTAGGGGGAAGCTAGTGGGGGGTCACATTAGATTTTGAAAAGGAAAATTAGAGAGAATGTTTTTCTTTCTATTTTTCCCTTAGAGTTTCATGTTATAAAAAAGTTATTTAAAGGAAGGTTTGTGTGACTGTGTTGGCTTTAAAATTTGTCCCCATGGCCTCTGGATTAAAAAGAGGCAATCCAAGAGATTGAGAGTGGAGCAGGAGGGAAAAAAAATAGAAAGAAATAAAATCCCCAAACCACCACTTTCTATTCTTGAGTTGGTTTTGAACATCTTCCATTATAAGCATTTTATTATTTGGTTCAGTAGTCTTGGCTGTTTTGCTTTTCACAAACAGGATTTGCTGTCCCCATGGCCAAGGGGGAAACAATTTTCACAAAAAGAGGGAGGGAAAAAGCACCACAGACTCAGATTTGGGCACTGGCTGTGCAGTGAAACTTCACACAAGGTGGAACAAGGGTTGTGAAGGAATCCACACCTTGCTGCAAACAGTGTAGAGACCGACATGGAGAAGCCCTGGACACTTAATGGACACTTAATCACATTGGGCATGCCCCATCCACTACAGGGCAGCTGTCCACCCATATATGCATGCACACACTTAGCCAGCTTGGTGCAGGGGGTCTTGCATGAGAAAAGAATGTGCAAGAACATGATGAGACATAGGCAAAGGCAAAATGTTCCTGTGAGCATTAGCAAGTCAGGCAGACACTTAACCTAATCTTGTCAATTACAATTGCACCAAAATTAAAAAAGAAAAAAAAAAAGGTAAATAAAATAAGCAATGGCAAATGGGGGATTTAAAAAAGCCTTGGTTGTTGAGTGACAGGGTCAGGAGAAGTGAAAAAAATAGCTTCTTCATTTTGCTGTGTTAATGCTTTAAACATACTGTTCCTTAGGACAGATGTAAGGAGCCCGGGAACCGGGTGGTGGGCAACAGAATGAGATGTCAGGCTGATGAGAGTAAAGATCTTGGGGGAGATCTGACAAGGGAGTATAGACACGAGGGATCTTCTCCACATATTGATCTTCATGTGAGTAGCAGCGGGCTAGGTAATCACTCGCATTCGATATCTCTGAGTGACGCTTTCCAAAGTTCTGCAAGTAGAGACAAAAGTCAATGGATATAAACACTGGAATCACTGGCCCTAAAACATGCAACTCTTCAGCTCCTTGCTGAGACACATACATAACAAGTAGGATGGAAAATTAGTTCTGCTGACTGCTTCAGAAAAGCAAAAGCTCAGGTGCTGAATCCTTACATTTCACCTTGGATTGTTTTGTCAATAAGAAATATTTGTCCCACTTCCTGAAATATCCATTCTTCTAATTACTGTGTATATAATTTTGTATTATTTGCCGTAAAATTGACAGTGCTCAGCCTTTCTCTAAACATAATAAATAGCAAGGTAAGAAATAACAACTTCAATCTTCGTAAATCTTCTACAGCTGAGTTTTGAAAAACTGGGCTTGTATGTACTGTTAATTTAATCCAGAATCATTCTCATGTAAGCAAAGGGCAGGGATTTTGTCTGGCCAGGTATTAGGGGTAAAACAGGTTATTGTGTCTAATGTGTATCTAGTAGGCACACCTGCATGGGCTAGACTTTGCATTTGTGAGCAGTTCTGCAGAAGTTGTTAGGACCAGTCTTATACGTCAAATCAACTATGAACAACGTATAGCACTTGCAAGATTGAAAGCAACTAGTGAACCCACAGTCTTCCGCTAATAGAGTTTATTCTAATGGATGCTTTGCAAAATCTGATTTTCTGTCTTCAAGTGCCAAATGAAATGAAAAGCCCTTGGAGTCCGAAGTGCTTTGATTTCTACTGAGATGATTTTGCAAAGGTACAGCAACCAATACTGAACAAATACTGCTTGTCTGGTGCAAAAACCGCAAAGACCCCTTTCCCCTGATAAAACTCAGTGCAAACAGCAGCAACAGGAAGATCAGAGGCAATCCTTGCCTCTCTCATCTTGTGCAAGTGCAGTATGACTGTTTAAGTCGAGAGATACATAACTCTTGCAGAACCCAGGACTGTGGTTCCCCAGAGGGTGGCAGCAGATGGGAAGTATTCCTGCTTGCTCACAGACTCTTTCCTCTGTCTTGAAGCCATGTGAGATGACCCAAGTGGGAGGAACACCTAGTGAGGACAGTACTATATGTTCTTGCTGTTATTAAAATCAACCCACAGTCATGAGCTCTCACGAAAGGATAATCTCTTCTTTGAGAGACAGGAAATCTGGTGGCAATTGTGTTTTATCCATGTGATTTGATCTGAGACTTGTTGAAGCAAGTGGCTTTCTTGAGTCCTACCTTATTCTCTTTCAAAATATGAGAAAATGTCTGTTTAGCGAAGAGGACAAGGATCTGACCCTCAGGAGAAAAAATCCTGAAGGAACAGGACTTTGCTTGTCTGCTGCCAGTTCCTAAATAAATATTTCACTAGGATGCTCAAAAAATCATATAGAAAACAAAGTGTTGCTAATGATTTATAAATGATTCAGACTACTATGAGAGATGGCAAGCAAACTGGAAGGCTTCATTCTTGAGGCAATTTCAGGAACAGTCTGGCTAGGGGCAAGGAAGACTGATAGATGGAAGTTTGCTTGAACATCAGAAAAAAACACTAAAATGCCAAGGTTATCATAACTTTGATTTTTCTGCTCTTGGCAGAACTGTGTATCCCAGTGCTTAAGCTTTAAAAAGGCAACCATCGTAATCTGGCCATGTAGCAAGGGGTCCTATAACCCCACTCCATGTCCCTTCTATTTAGAATTGCTGCACTGGTTTCTCTGAAGTTCATATGGATCCATCCTACACCTACCTCCTGAAGTTTGTGTCTGCTACTGTTTAATAATTGTGAGTGGAAAGCTGGGCAAGCTGTGGCAAAACATACCTCAAGGATGGAGACAATTATCTTCATACAGATTTTATAACATAAAGAGGATCCATACCATAAAGAAAGATGGAAACAAAGAATAGCTGGTTTCTGTTTTTCTGATTGTTCTAGCTAATAAAAATAAATAAGAAGAATTACTCAAACCCAAGGAAAACCTAACCCTGTATAAAATAGGGAAGGCTTTCTCCCCATAAAGACTGCTGTTACAGAGATCTCAAACACAACAGAACTCTTTTGCATTTTTTTTAAGAATAATAACAGCAACAAAATAAGCAGAAAGACTCTTATCCTCCCGCTCTCCTAGGATTTTGTTTTGTTTTGTTTTGTTTTGTTTTGTTTTGTTTTCCCTTTAAAAGTATGGCCATTAGAGGAGAGCTGTGCTTCCTCAAATCCTCAATAAAGCTCACCTGAAAAGGAAGTTGCCTCAATGCTGGAAACCTAGGAAGGCATAGCAGGCAGAAAGTTTCCTTTTCCAGGTTGGTGGTATATCTTTTTTTTTTTTTAGGTGGGTATGTAATGGAGAAATACAGGCTTTCATGCTAGTATGGGATTCTCAGTTAACATTAGTAGACATCTTGTGCAGATTGAACTGCTTATTAGCATGTAGCAGTGAAAGAAGTAGAAGGAGCCGTGGGTTGCTATTCATGGGCAGTCTATTTGATGATGCACTGAGCTATCCAAATGCATTTTTTTTCTGTTTCTAACTGTTTACAGGGACTTGAAACAAGTGCCCATGGAACAGAACTAGAGAAACTCAGAGCAGTTCTGTCAGTATTCTGATCTGGCCAGGTAAACGATTTCCTTTGCTGGCAGGGTTGTGTCTGCTTTTTACAGGTGGGAGTAGGCCCAGAGCAGGGCAGCTGGAGAATGCAAGCATAGGGGTCCAAGGAAGAGAGTTTGTTGTCTCCTTTCACCTTTCTGTGGCATGTGAAGCCAGAAATCAGATGGCTCTTGCTTTGTTCCCTGATCTTATTTCTAAGCAGCAAAAGGGAAGAGAAGAAAATCAGCCTGATGTTTATTAACATATTTAACAGCCGGTGCCCTTTGACTTCCTTCCCCAGTCCCACTGTGACTTTTCCCAAATCTAATTTATCTTTAACAAAGTTTGAAATTAAATTAGGGATAATGAACTAATTAAATTGAACCGGCACACAATTCTGCCACCTTCCCCCACCTGACTGCTCCCTCTTGCCTTTGTTTCCAATGTGATTCCATACAGTTCTTCATTATCTAGGTTACATCTTCCTCCCCTCAGTTTTATTTTCAAGAACCTGATTAAAGAGGATGTCAGCAATCTATCCATTTCAGACAGCCTGGCAAATTATCTTTAAATGGTCTTTATTTGATTAAACCAGAGAGCTTTCATTTCTGCCGTGAGTTACTTTCAGCCCTTTTCCATCTCTCTATGTACTTCACTCAAGCTTTTCTTCATTTTCTTTTTTAATCTATTGGTACACCTATGGCATCCAGGTATGCCACAAGCATCTTTCCTTCTAACCTGACCATATCCTAAAATTGTGATCATCCCTAAGTAATGAGAAATGTGCTGAAATTGAAAAATTCCTTCTCAGGGCCGTGAGAGTTCATGTATGCTATGCCATGGAAAATCTGAAGACTATATAACCTGTGCTAAACAGGCAAATATTGCTACAGAAGGCTCAGATTTTTGATTTTACTCAAAAGCCCAATTCTTAACCTTTTGTACAGTTTAAATTTGTCTTGAGTCCTGTCGCATGAGTAACAGAGAAAAAGGGTTGTTTTTATTTACTTGGCCATGTTCTGGGTGGCAAACTCTGGGTATGTATTTGCCCTCCTGCTTAATGTGTTAGTCTGATCCTTGGCAGGGAAAATGCCCAACAGTTGAAACTTGGGGTTGCTGCTTCCCTAACCTTCTCTATCAGCAGGTTTTGAGTTTTGGAATTAGCACAGGTTGAGGGACAGAAAGAAGCAACTTTGCTGAACGACAGCAATAGGAGGCTCTTATCCAGGGGACGAGTCCGTGCAGAGAATATAGGTGTAGGAAGATAGGAAAAATAATGGAAATCAGAAGTAAGCATTTCATCATGGCATCAGAGTCTCATATCTGTTTTTTACCCTGTCTGTTTATAAACTTCCTGTTCTTTTTTCTACTGCCTTTCATCTTCAAAGTATGGGAGCAACTCTCGGTATTTCTCAGCATGCTCCTGCTCTGTGCACCTTATCTATGTAGAAGCCCCTGGAATCACTGTGCCAGGTAAAGAAGAGGCATTAACACACTGGAGATAAGGGTGGAGCAGAGACTCTGAGCAGTGATGGGTTTTTGTGAGGAACGGACTGAGGGCAGACTGGACAGAAAGAAAGGCTTAGCTTCAGGGTGAGTGGAAGGAAAGAATGAGCATGAGGAAAGAAGAAATTCTCAAAACACAGGGCAAGGAGCTGTGATGAGGGATGCACTTGCAGACACATGCTCATTTTTTATGTGTGGGAAACTCACAAAGTTCCATTCCTTCTTGCATCATACCTCTAACTTCCTTTTTCTCTCTTGCTAGCTGTATTTACTTATCTGCTCTCCCTTCCTACAGTATAAACCGCTTCCTTCAATTATCTTAAATGTTTCCCTTCGTGCTGGTTCTCCCTTGTGCCCTCTTCTTTGTCATTTCAGAATCAGGGCAGGATTGTTATGCTTATCTTACAGACTGGAAACTGTCTTGGTTCCTTGCTTTATTTCTCCTTCAAATCAGAAAGAGTAGGCTGTTTAGCTGGAGGATTTCTGAGAAACTTTGTTGTTGATGGAAAGGAAATGTAGGAATCTCAGAGTGAATCAAACCTGCTATGACTGATGGTTCTCTCTATCTTCAGTTCAAAGTCTGCATTGAAACTGCACCCAGTCTGTAAGTGGTGCAGATTTTGGGGGTTTTACAGTGGTATTGGAAGAACAGAGCTGGGAACTGAATCCTGGTCACTGATCTGCTAGGATCTTGGAGTCTGTCTCATAGTTCCAGCTATTCTTTTCATAATACAGGAAAGAAATTTCCCCAAGAAACTGAGAGCAGGAGGATGAAGGTGAAAGGGGAGGAAATAATTAAAAAGCATAAAAAAAAGTCAGTCACCGTCATCTGTGGCGTGTCTGGGCGATTTTGCGGCGGTGAGATTACACCTTCAAAGCACCATATGACTGGCTTTATTTTTACTTCAGAGAAACTGGGAGGATTTCCAATTTTGGATTTGGAGGATTACTGTCCTTTTGCTGACAATAAAATCCCCCACCCCTGGGAGGACAAGGCAAGACCTCCCAAGATGGATTAAGGAGCATTTGCCTTGTTATGACAATGGGAATGGCATTCCAGTGGAGCCCTTAGAGCTGTGAGGAAGGTGGCTGCTTTCAACCATGTCTTCCTCTCAGAGCACTTTCACTCAGAGTGATAGAAAAATGTTAGCTGAGGGGTAGTGACAAGCATGTATGCTGGCAACCAACCTCTTCCTTGTACCCCAGCCTGGGCAGGGTCCAGAGATTGTGCTGCAGGCCTGACATGTGAGCAGGGGCATTTAGAATAGGAGGATCCAGCATTCCTTGGAGCAAGGACTGTTTGCTGCCCTATGTGAGACAGCTCTGCTCAGAGGATCCAACAGTGCAGTCACCTCCTACACAGTCCAGACTGGCGTTCATCTCAGCAGAGCAGCTTCAGTCTGAAGGGTGCATAGGGATGAGAGCTCAGCCTTTATCTCTCAGTTTGGAGGAGGCTGGTGCCATCGGTGACAGGCAGACAGATACCATGTAGCTGACCAACACCTCTTTCCAGCAACAGTCAAGACTCCACAACCAAACAGAGAAAAGAAAAGCCAAAACTTACTGTCCACTCTCGCTCGTAACGTCTACGAAGACCTTGATCCTCATTCTGAGAGCAGGGATGGGTGAGATACCGCAAGAGAGAGATGTTACTGTTCAGTTCTGGGGCAGGCCCACTGCAGACACTACCCTAGAAAGGTCTCTGCTACGGTGGGGAAACGACAGGGCTCCTTACAACACAGGAAAATTAGGGACCACAGGGACAAAGGCAGAGTGAACTAACTCATTGCACACCTGCAACCCAGGCGTCTCCACTTCACTGCCAGCCTCCTGAAGGCATAGATGTTGCTTGTCTGAAATGTTTGCCTGCTCCCTTCATACTTTCTAGACTTTCTCCTCAGCTCTGGAGGTGACCCTTTTGCTGTCAGATTTGGCTTCCCTGGTGCTTGTGCATACCTGTGTATGGAGGTTGGACTTCAGGTCATGAAATGCTGGACCCAAATCTCCCAGATAGGTGTGAAAGGAGAGTTACTTCCCTTTTAGCTAGGAAGTTGGTGTCCTCTATGCTTCTATGTCCTAAAAAGGATAAGAAAGCCCTGAGGATCCCTCTTTCTTTTGCATACACCAACCTGTTGCAAAGGGTCGCTGATAGGTATAAAGGAACTAAAAGTCTCCTGGCGCTTCAGATGTAAGCTGTGGTCCCTGTCATAGGGGTGGAGCTCAAAGGAGCTTGGGAACGCCAAGACAGAGCGCCTAGAGAAATGCATGAGCAAAGGAAGCAGTTAGGTCTGATCTCCATTTTGACATGTAGAACAACAGAGAAAATAATGTTTCTCCTTCTCACAGACATACAAACGGATGATGTCTGTATCTGCTACGGACAATAGAAACTTGTCTTTTGCATGCACCATCCTTCTCTTACTGTGTCTTATTCAGAGGCTCTTTTAGACTTGGAGACCTTTACGTGTTCCCATATTCTCTCAGATACTCTTCCACCTTGTTCTTTCACACATACACATATGCTCTCTCTTATCTATAGTGTCTTTCACACACACAAGCTCTTTTCCACCCGTGTGCTAATGTACACATCTGCTTTTCCTCTCTCGCTTCTAAATGCATGGGGAATGAACGCTGAGAGGTTTTCTGCTTTCTGGACAGGGTGGCTAGAGAGGATAAAGGAAAGGCAGAGGACAGATCTTTGAATAAGACAAGGATTCTTTCAAGCCTTAGGCACTTCCTTCCTGCTTGAAAGCAGGAGAACACTTGCTTAAGCCTGCTGCCACTAGGACACTAGTTTTTCCTTCATGTGTCCTCGCTGGACAGATGGACTTGTCACCATTTTCAGCCTCTAGTCTATAAGATGCAGCTCTGGCAGACAAACCAGGCTGGGGCTTTGCCAAGTGCTAACATACTGAGTGCTCCCAAGTGCCAGACGAACAGCTAACTCCATTCCTTTTTTTGACTTTTTCTTACCCCTTTTATTTCCTCTCTCTGTGTATCCTAGGTTTTTGTTACCTGAGTCTCTAAGACTCTCAGTGCTTTTGCTCATTCAATGCACTTTGCCTCCCTTTCTTGCGCTGAGGAGCTACTTTTTTTCTGACCCATCCTCCTTCACTGCTAATTCAAGAGAGTATTTGGAAATCTGCTTTGAATATTTTCTCAAAGTTTTTGTCCTCGGCTCCTGCCCGTTGTAGTATTGTTGCTTTGCTTCAGGCTGCTAAGCTGTACAAAAAGAAAGCCGCAAACCAAATCCTACACCAAGAGCTGAACCCTCCAAATCCACCTCACTTATCCTTGTGCTGCCAACACACTAACTGCAGAGAGGACCCTCTGTGCAGAAACAAGCCTGTTATCTCTTTCCCTCCCATGTACCTCACCAAGAGGAGAGAAGAGAGAGAGAAAAAAGAGGAGAAAAAAAAAAAAAAAAGGGGATACGCTGCTAAGAGCATGCATAGAAGGCAAGGCAAAGGCATTCCTGTGGTCATCATAATGAGGAGGATAGGTAGCAAAAGGACCAGCAGTCATGAAGCAGCGTGCAGAAGGAAGAAGGCGTTGCAGGGAGGACAGGCTGAGTTGCAAAAGAGGCATTCCACAGGAAGGAGAAGTGATGCAGGGGGCAAAGCACCGCTTTAAGAGGAGCATAGTGGGGAAGGCAGTGTGTGATAATGTACCTTGAGGCCAGAATCTGAGGGGAAAGGGCCTAGAGTGACATGCGCTAGCGTAAGTTGGGCTGGATGGTTGCATACTCGACTAGGTCTCCGCCAGCATGGATGGAGGTCCGAGGACTGGGTGACGAGGCCAGAGCGGACGTGTCCAGCTCTGCATAGTGGACATCACAGTCCTTGTTGCCAGAGTTCTGGAGAGAAGAGACCAGCAAGGCAGTGGGGACACAGAGGGGAGGAAGGGGAGAGATGAGGGGAGGGAAATGGGGGAGTGTGAAAAAGGATCCGTGCCAAAGGCAGGGAGCGAGTGAATGAGATAGGAAAGGAGGAGAGGGAGGAAGAAGAAAAGGGTGAAAAGGGGGAGGAAGAAGAAACAGTTAAAAAAGAGGGAGGGTAGTAATGAACAATCAGTCAGGTAAAATCCCAAATCAAAGCAGAGGTCCCAAGGGCATTGCTCCCCCAATCCACCAGTATTCTGAGTGAATCAGCCCAGGCTGGCAGGACTCAAAGCAACAGCCCCATTTCCCTCTCTTCGTGGGGCTGCTTCTGGTACTGTCCCTTTGGGATCAGCATTTTCCTCTATCAGGGGCTGTTCTGTGTGTTCAAAGTTTGTATTCTGCCAGAGCCTCAGCCAGCTTGAACTTGGGAACGTAGGGCTTAATCATAGTACTCAGGAGGTAAATGCAAGATTGCAGGTATGAGTGCAAATAATGGGGAAGGCTTGAGTTTTGAATGTTGGGAAGGATCTACCTGGAGGGTGATGGTTTCAAACCCATAGGTCCAAAGGCAGGGTGATGTGCTACATTTTTGCACAAGGCTTGACTGAATGCTGTTACTGTGGATTACTTATACAGCATAATTCTGTCATTGTGATAATGTCTAACAGATGCTAAAAGCATTCTTCTTTGGCTGAAAATATTTATGGGTATTCCCTGTGCAAGTGGGCTTGTTAGCAGGAGCTGTGCAAATGGAATATTATCCAGTCTTTCTCCAGACTTCTCTCTGCTTTGCAAGTCATAATGGCTGGAGAACCATGGAAGGTAGGAGGCCTGAGCAATAATTCCTTGTTGCTCAGTGGGAAAAGGAGTCATCAAAAGCAATAATGTGTTATTAGGACAGCTGTGGTGGCACTAGGAAAGATGTGATGGGTACTTTGCCTATGCGGCCCATACAGTTTCTATAATACTCCTTCTTGAGTCTGGTTGTCCCCTGTGTGGTGTGTCTGAAAACTCTGAGAGGAGAGAGTTATGTCTTCAAAAAGTTTTCCTGTTTTTCATCCCTTTTCCAAAATGGCCTCATCACTTGGAAATTATGCAAAACGTGATTAATTTGAAAATGTTTCTTTTTTTTTTTTTTTTTTGTAACTGTCTTCAGCCATGAACCAGCTGTGACAGAGCCATTTTCACAAGTTTATAACCCTGTAATGAGCTGTTCCAGTGCCTCTTGCTGGAAAGGGTTATTCAATGAGCAATTATCTCCTACTGCTGTTTTGTTCTGTGGCAGAGTTTAGCTCCCTGCTATATGTCCCTCAGCCATGGGGATGAGAGGACATAGGAATATGAATCTAGATGTTGTTTCTAGTATCAAATCCCCTTGGGAGGACCCAGCCAGGCTGGGCTTTGGAGAACTGCGACTTCAGGCAATTTTCTATCCTGCCTTCATTGATGACCAGATGGCAATGGCAAGTTCTCAGTATGAAAGCTGTATGTTGTGTAGCCTCTCTGCTTCCTGGCTGGGTGTGGACTGAGCATTTAGAGACATCAAAGAAAATTAGTAATAGAACCAGCCTCAAACCTAAACCTATGCCCTGTAGGACTCTTTATCCCTAGACTTCGTAGCTCAACGACCTCTATAGCCTCAGAGAAGGACCGACCAAATCTTTAGCTTTTTCTTTGTACATTGTCAATTTTGCACCTCCCTTGTCCAAAACAGTGTTTTCTCCCACCAGAGGTATTCTCTCCATGGAGTTTCTCTATGTCTGCCGCTTTTGGGCTTGCTCCTGCTCCCTGCTGCTTGTTTGGAACAAAATTTATTACAATATCAATAATGTGACTTGTACGCAAGGTCTAGCACTACCACATGAAAGCGCTCTGTGCAAATCGTCAGCATTGGCATCTTGGTAATTGCCCTGTAAACTGAAAGGAATTATTTTGCTGTCTCCAGTAATGAAACCTTCGCTTCCACCTGTGCAAATGAGTATGGATGACACATACACTAACTGTGTTTCTTCTACACATTCTTGTACCTTCACCTTTCTTCCTTATTCTCCCTCTCACACCCAAACACACAGCATCTGCATGACAAATACCTTATTCTTTACACTCAAACATGTGCACCATCATTCAGGCATGCATACTAATCACTACTGTGTTCGGAAACATGCACGTACCTTCCCATCTCATTCATTTCTGCTTAGATATTGTCATGTAAATAAACTTTTGCTCCAAAAGAGGTCAAAGACAAATGTTGTAAGCAACCCCTTCACTCAGGTGCATGATTCTGTGCCTGTGAGTTCCCACTGCTGTGGTCTTGCACATTTCTATGCTGTTAGTTTTATGTTCATGTTATTCTACCCACCTTTGGCAACAAATAAGTATATCTATTTGTTTATAGCCTCTGACATAAGGTGCAGTCCTACTCCACTGTGCAGGCATCTCATCCTGCAGACATACTCCAGCCTCTCCCCCTGCCAGCACATGTTTGTGTGTATACCCGTGTACACTTGCCTCATGCAGTCCTGCCTTCCTCCTGTACTTGTCTCTTTCCTTTTCTCCCGGCATCTCTGCTATTCCGTCCTCCCTTGTTCTTTCCCATCTCTAATCACTTTCCTACTTCCTTTTTACTGCTGTGAAATTGTCAACCCCAGGCAGTGGCTTTTGTGCAGCTTTGTGATGAGTTTAGTTTATCCCAAATTATGGGATTTCACACCATTCTTTTCAAGTTGAATGCCTTTACCCTATCTTCTTGTAGAATGGGTTACCTTCAACTCTCATCTTTTTCACCACCCGTTCCAAGGGACATCTCCAGACGAAATGCAAGGAGAACGGGAATATCCTGCCTTTGCCTTCCAAAGGGTCCTAGAACCATTTGCTCAACAGAGTTGCTGCATGCATCTGCTTCTGGGGCGCAATTTGATAAACTGAAGTGCAATACATCAGAGGAAAGTCTGCAAAGACCCAGTGAAACTGAAGGGAATGTGTTTCCTTCCACATCCTGGCACTAGCCCATCTCTCTGGCTGGGTCTACCTTTGCTTATTCATGTTGGAGTACACAACTGGTGCTTCTTAGCAGAAAAGGGACAGCCTCCTTTCCCTTGCTAGTCCTGCGCTGGAATAGCCTACTGCGTGCTTGAAGTGCACCATGATTTAGTTCAGAACAGGAGTAAGCCTCGTCTCTTCCCTGTGGCAAGAAACATTGTGTGGTGTGTTTGTGTGATGCAGGAAGTCTGCTACCCTTTATAGGGGCTGTCAGCCAAGCTAACCAGAGGACAGGTTCACTGAAGAGCTGGGCCAGTCTTGGGCCAAAAGCAGGCACAGCTGTGGCAGCAGGGGGCAAATCACCCATACACCTCATTCACGAAGGGAGTTTCTTTTTGGGAGGCAGTCCATCACCGCTTGGCTAAAATCTCTGGTAAGGAGAAGCAGGTACCAAGCCTAGGACATGAAAATGCATCTTCTTAGAGCAGAATTGAGGAGCTAACTCGGTTCCTATGGTTACCGAGCAGCTACCCAGCAGGCCTGATCTCACATCACTAACTCTGCCACTTAATTAACTGACTGCTCATTATTTCCCAAAATGAGCTCCCTCCATCCTCCTGCCTGCCTGAATTCAGCTCTCAGATGCTCTCTGCAGAGCGGCCCGCCTGGTTTTGGCATCCTGTCTTTCACTTAAACCTCGCCCACCACTCAGCAAGGTTTGGAAAGAGCTGGAGACAAGCCCCAGGACTGAGAGAGGGTTCTAAGGAAGTTTTTCTTTAGGAACATCTTCTGCATTTAGCTAGGATAAAGTAAATGGAATCGCATTAGCACAGCTCAATGCAGAGCTATGCCTGAGCTTTTCCATTAGTGATGCTTTGGACATCTTTCTCACTGCAGACTGGTGCTAGCTAAAGGTTGCTGGGCCATGTCCTCCTATTTTCTGCACAGGATTACATGTTAAAGGATCATACCAGGATGAACTGGAGAGAAGGGAGTAATCAGTTGTGTTCCTGAAATAGTACTAAGCATGGTGTGATATTTATATTCTTTTCTCAGATGAATGGTGTACATTGCTGAGATACAGAGGAAATAAGGTAGATATATAGCCCTGTGAACCATCCCTTAGGGAGCAATAGTTGCAGGAAGATCTGCATAATTTGCGCTGGGTTTTTGTGCCTTTCGTGTTGGATGGGAGAGTAGTTGCACGCTATGGGGTGAGGGAAGAGAAAGGGATGGTCCAAGGCCTGGAGAGGGAAGGTTTTCAGGGTTTTGTTTTTGCTCAGGGAGTTGCCCTAATCCTGCTTTGCTCTGATTCCTATGCTTTTGCCCTTAGATATCTAACATTTTTCTCAGTCAGCCTCGGTCTTTGAAAAACAACCTTTCCTGCATAGCTGCTAATATCTCTCCCTAACCCTTAATCTCTCTGCTGCTGTTGACTCGCATTACCATCTTTCTATTTGAGGCTGATCAAATCCACACAAAACAAGGGATTTTAGAGAATTTGTCTTCAACTGAGAGTCAAATGCTGGCACATTCTACGCTGCAGATAATTGCTTTGTGAAGCACTCTCTGCAGTGCATGTTGTTCTTTGAGAGCTGCTGCTTTCAGCTGCAAACCCTAGCAGGGGGTCACTTGCAAGAGGTGAAGAGTGACCAGACTTGGATGTCATGTATAAGTAAAGATGAGACCTCTACAGGCTCTGACTGTCCTCTGATGAATAATTGGAATAAGCTGGGCTTTGTATTTTAGTGAGAAATGACCCATAAGCCCACAGTTCTAGGACCTATGGAAACTGAGAACCAAAAGAGCAAGGGCTGAAGCAGGGCAAGTGGTTCTTGAATGGCAGTCTGAGATCAAGAGTGTGGAGTCTGCCCTGTTCCAGGAGAGGATGCTCCTGGTTTGAGAAGATGGCTTGTCCTCTCCTGGGTGATAGTTGGGATTGGATTGCTCTTTCTGTAGGGAAATGCATGTGAAAGGCAGTGAGGATGGTTGGTAAGGGTGAGGTCAAGCAATGGTATTAGTACCGTGATCTCCTTACCAGTTTGTCAGAGTATGGTGAGGGCTCGGCAGCTGCCATGTCATAGTATGGAGTCTGCAGAGGGAGTTTTTGGATTTCCTCCTCGTGTTTCATGTTGTCTAAGTGAACAACCTGTATTAGAGGAGATAGAAAAAGGATGAGGAGAGCAAGCACCATCCTTCTGACAGAATTTGGGGCAACATAGGCTTCCAGTGAAAACTTTACACGACTGTGAGGGATAATGCATCTTAACCTCTCCCTTGTTCTTACTATATTATATGCTTGTTGTTTTCTATTTCATTCTCATGTTTCTCAGCACACCATTACCACTCATCATATTAAAAATTATGGTGATGTTCAGGAAAAACCCTTAAATTGAAAACGCCATCTGAACACTTCTTTCAGAATTCAGCTCCTCTGAAAAGGAGCCAACAGGATCCAAATCACAGCTTTGAGTTAGTACCAGTCTTAGGGAATTCTGTGCAGGAAAGTCTGATCTTGCTGCCTTTCAGGCTTAGGCCATGGGCTTGTTTGTGCTGGCAAACGCTATGCTCGTGGTGCTTCTGAGAATCAGTTTTTCATGCCAGAAGCAGCAGCTTGTCACTGGACTGGGGAGACATACCTGGATATCTTCTGCTGTCAGGTGGCTTTTCATCTCCTGTTTCCTCTTGGGTGGAGGAGCAGGTTTGTGGGATGGAGGCAAGTCAATTCTGTAGGTAAAGGTAAAAGAGGTGTCTGCTGACTAGAGAGCAAGAGAAGAGGGGTAGACTGTTTTGGTATGCCTTGATAGACAAGATCCTGCATACACCAAAATCAGTTACAAGATTTAATGGCGTTTGTCACTCAGCTGCTCATATAATCACACAGATTATTTTCAGTAACCCCCTTGCCCTCTCTTTCACCCCAATTAGAATTGTTATTAGAAATAAATGCTCTTCTAGTGTTCTGTTTATAATACCAAGCAAATCTCCATGTCACATTGCAGACCCTGAGGGTAAAGTTGGGATACCAGTTTACTGTGGCTGTTTTGAACTGGCTCCAAATCATCCCATTGGAGTTGGCTCATCTTACGGCTGTAGGGAACCAGAAAGTGTCTGTCAGTGATGGTTATCAATCACCAAAGCCATGTCACAGCCAGTATGTGAGCATATGTGGAACAGGAGCTGATGCCACAGGCTACCCACGAGGAGTTTGAATTGTCGTCTTACACGTGCTATTCCATGCAGGGAGGCTTATCCTTGACCCTTAATCAGGAGATCAACTTTTGCCCCAAAGCATAAGGATTGGCAGCCAGTATAATCTCCAGCCTAGAGAGCGTCTCTGCACATTCCGCTTAATAGGCACAGATGCATCTAATCCTTTTATGAAACTTATTAAAACTGTGGTCTGCTAATTAGCTGGCTCCTCCTCCTTGCTCTCTGTACAAACTTTACCAGATCTTCTGATAGAGCTACTTTTCTTGACAATCCAATGGATTCTAAGATGGAGCCCAAAGTTATAGGTGAAGGGGAAAGGTAAAATGGGATCCAAACTTTTGCAAGGCATTGACTTTGACTCAAAAGAAAAGCATTTATGTTTCAGAGGCTTTGGAACAGACTCCACAATAGAGGCAGCACCTCTTGCGTGCTAGGACATCATAGTGTTTCTATTCTCAGTTAAAGTGGCTCTTCCCTGTGCCTGCCTGGAGGACCACGGTGGGAAGTGAATGAGTCTCTGTCATAGGACTGATGCTGTTGATGCAATTTTACCTTGTGGTGCTATTTTGTGTGTGTGTGTGCGCCATTCTTTTTCTTTCTGTTTTCTACGGTGTTCTTTTCTCCCTCCTGCTGCTATCCTCCAATGCCTTCTCTCAAATGGGATTAAATGGAGCACAAAATGTGGCCAAGATGTAACAGCAATGAAGTGGGGGTTGGGGAGGATAAAAGGTACTTCTAGGCTTTGGGCTTTCGGTGCTTTTTCCTACTGATGTGGGAAAGGAGTGAGGGCCCATGAAAAGGCAGTGATGAGAGCGGGATGGGGCTTTTGAGGAAGAGGTCAGGATAAACATTTCTGAAGAGGGCTGTGTTCATGCTGTGTGTGCTGAACTCCATGCTGCCAAAATCCCTCCCTGGGATATGTGCTGTGCAGCATGAGGTAGAGAAGAGTAAGTACGTGTCAGAGGAGCCCTTAAGGTATCACCCCTCTCTCTACTCTAGTACTGTCAGAGTTCAGATTGTCCAGCTGACAACATAGGTAAGAAACTGGAATGGTGGGTGCAAGTGGAATCCTTTCTGGACTCTTTGGGATATATCAGAGCTGTTCAGCGTCTGTCAGGGACCCTCTCTGACAGAATCTAATTCAGGCTAATTCAAGAGCCTGAAGCCATCGCTCTGGAAAGGAGGATTAGGATCTTTTCCTACTGGAGGTGCGAGTGGCATCCGTCCTCCTGCACAACATCCAAGGATATGTTGTAGTGAAAGCAGAGTCTGGATGAGTTTGGTAATGCTTCAGTCGCTGCTTAAGGATTGTGGTAAGAGTTTAGAATAGACAAGAGCAGGATGGAAAGCAGTAAAAGAGCCCCAAGGAAGGGAAGTAAGATAGAAGCATAAAGTAGAGGATAGCAGAAAGGAAAGTATATATGTTTTGTTTTTCATTTGCCTCAGTCTCTATCTGCTGTCCCACCCAACTGCACCTGTACCAGCAGCAGTGCACGTGTTTTCTGAGAGCTTAGAGCTACTTACAAGTCGTTGTCTGTTTCAGTGCGGTTCTTTTGTTGGCGCCTGTAGACAATAAATACTGTGACAGCCACACCGATGATGAGAGCTGCTGCAATGACACCTCCCACGATTCCAATAATGCCTCCTGGGGCGCTCTGAGGTAGTGGCTTATCTGCAGCACACAGGCAAACACAGGAGAGAACTGGGGTTAGAGCATCAGACAATACGACAGGTAACGCAACAAGGCTGGCAGAACCAGGGTCTCTAGAAGGAAACACGCCAGCCCTCTCTGAAACTGCCTTGGATATTCCTATGTGTAGACAGCTTCACTGAGAGAGGTGGTCATGCTGAAACATCGTAGTCGGAGCTCTACAGGAACAGAAATCCTGGGATAAAATTGTCCCCTATCGAAATGAAAGCTAGTTATGATGCACAGCTTTTCTAAATTCTGCATTGATAGCAATATGCAATTTATTGCAGTGGATTAGAGGTGTATGCCTCAGAGCCTGTCACCCCTAAACCTTAGAAAACAGATGACCTGATTGTAGGATTTAGGGATGATGAGGGGTTATATCGTACGTTCCATCCCCTGCTTGCCCTCTGGCTGGAGAGCTTTGTGACTTGGGCTAGCTCTTCTGTGACTAATATGGACCTCATTCAAAGGAAACCTATCCCATGGGCTTGATGGGAAAGCACTTTGAAACGTACGATAAAAGGATTTAATTTGCTCTACCTTCCAACCTAATTAAACTTGAAAACTGGCTAATTGGTACTTTGTACTTACAGCTCTGGCAGTGATGAAAGGAGGAGATAATTGGAATGGAGGAAGAAGGAGGAGGAGCAGAAAGGGGAAAGAAATTCAGGGGAGAGGAGGGAGCCAGGGATGAGGGGAAAAGGTGCTTTGTGAAACTTATGTCACACTTAATTCTTGTACTTTTCTTAATGTAATTGCTACTGGCCACTCTTGGAGACTAGGTACTAGACTGTATCATCCTTACTTGGTATAAATATGGCCTTGATTATCTTAGTGGTAGCATCTCCATTAAGCAACTCATACCCAAGATGTTAAAATAATACCCGTTTTGCATGTGTGCATGTATCTAAAATATATATACATGCATCTATATCTTCCCATTTCAGTCTACTTCTGAGGACTAAAAGTCTGCGACTTAATTCCACTCCACATCCATGGATTCATCCCTTCCTTAGCTTGAGGGATAGACTTTCTGTAAGGCTAGGTGCAAAGCACAATTGCAAAGCTGACTGTGTTGAACCCCTGCCAACAGACTATTCCCAGATCTTACCTTACAGCCAGTCTTTTTCACCTTTCAGATTTGCTGCTGTCATCCACGAGTGAACTGAGGTGTAGAAACATTTCCCAGGGAATTCCCCTCTCTCTAGTCAGAACTAACAAATTGCACAGCAGAAGACTCGCATGTTTACTGTAGCAGTACTAAGCACTTGAAGTCCTAACAGCATGCTGTGGAGAGCAACCAATGAAGAATTTGCCCTGGAAGCTCTGTTGACATTGATCTCTCACGCCTTTCTGTGAGACTTCTATGCAAACCTGCTTTTGTCTTGTCTAACAACATGCCTCCATCAGTTGGCATCCCATGCCCAGTCTTCCCTTGTTCCTTAATTAAAAGCTCAGAGTTGAGTTTCTTCAAGCAACAGGCTGTTGTCATCAGAACCTTAGCCCCCTCCCCAGCTTCCTCATTACTGGCAGTCAGTTTTCTCTCTCTTTCCTTCTCAGTAAGTCAGTATTTTATAAATAATATTTCTGCCGTGAGACAGCTCACTTACAGCCATGCACAAGCAAACAGCTGATATGTTACATTCTGATTCCCAGGACTGTATTTGAGACCTTCCAGTCCCTTTGACTGCAGCATTTCCATGGTTTACCAAACCCTAACATCTCTTAGGATAGCAGGTAGCAAGTGGAGAAAATCAGCTTCCTGCTACTGCTGTAAATCAGTATGTGTGTGTTGGCAGAAGGGGCAGAAAGAGAAAGAGGGGAAGAATATAAAATAAAACTAATTTCTGGGAGCTTGAACAAGGCTATATGATAGGGAGAGTAAATGGGACAGTAAGATTTAGAGGCAGCCATGAATTTGCAAATGAGAGACAGGGAAATAAAGGGTACCAGGAAAAGGCAGTAAAGTGATGAGGAAGGGATGAAGGACAACAAAGAAATGCAGATATTCTGGGTTGCCTATACCTCAGTGTATTTTTCTTGCTGAATTTTTGAACTTGTGAGTGTTGGTACCCAGCCTGATGTTTTGACCAGGCTGGTGCGATGATGCAACGCTTTCATATAACAGCAAGTAGCAACCAATCCCTAATGAAAACAAGTCCTTCTGCTACTTGTATAGCTCTTTGTCAGAAGACAGACTGAGCCATGCTGCTGCAAGTGCATCATTGAAGGTGTCCAGCCAAGTGTGGATATGAAAATGATAGGTGTTGAGAACTTAAAGGAAGAGAAAAGGACAGGAGGTGAGGAATGGGTATGAGTTGAAAGTCTGGGAGTGCAAGAAAGGGCAGAGAACTGTTTATCCAAATGCTCTGAGATGCTTTCTCTGTCTGCCTAGAGTGTTCTGAGTGACTGGAGGGCTCACCTGCAGTCTGTTATTTCCCTCCTCTGCACATAGTTTCTGTTGAACAGGGGAAATGTGGTGCAGCAGCAGTGCTTTTCTGAAGGACACGGTGGCTGCAAGAATGGATGTTATAAGTGAAACAGGAGGGCATAAGGAAAGATACAGAACAAGATGTTAAGAACTGGCAAATGAGGATTTGTTTATACTGGGCGGCCCAGGGAAGGTACTTGCAAGGCTTGTGAATCAGGATCAGAATAAATAGACAGGACAGCTCAGGGGCTTGCACACTCTAATGGGAAAAGACTTTTCAAATTAAGAATGCAAACCCCCTTGCTTTGTGTCACACTTGAATAATTTAAAGCTCTCCAAAGTTTTTGTGAAGCAGCTGGCAGTGAGGCAGGTACCAAGGAACCCAAAGGGGCTGAACAAACAACTCATATTTATCTGAATGTCTCAAGGGCTACTGGGAACTCTCATTCCTGATGGAAATTGAATTAACTGAAAGTATTACAAATAAGGAGTAAAATACACCCTGCCTCCAGGTTCAATACAGTTTGGTTCATTACTTTTTTTCTTTCACAGCGCTTTTGGAGATGGAAGCAGTCACAGAAAAAGATGAAAAGTTCTTATTTTTCTGTAAAGAGTCCTTGCCAGACAACTGATGGTGAGTGTGTTTCCAAAAGTCTTTACCCAGTGAAAGCTCTTCTGTTTTTGTGATGGGAAGGTAAAGCGCCAGTAATGCTCTTCAATGGTAGAGACAGAAAGGGGAAAAGGAGTCAAAGACCTGCAGCTAGGCCTCAACTGTTTTTCTGTGCTATGTGAGTTAAATATCATGAGTCAAGGGAGGGCACATGTGCTGCTGGTCACAGTGTGTGATCAAGGCTCTACATGAAGATGATGAGTTCTACCTGCTCAGGCAGAACTGGCAGGACTGAAAAAAATTATAAAAAGCCAGTCTCTGCCCGTCATGAGTTAGGAGATTTAAAATAACCAGTCAAAGCACTCTGTGAGAGCAGGATTTCTAGTTAACCAGGTGGTGAGGTAGGGTGAAGAACATGCAACCAGAATTATGTGGCACTGCTGGCTACACTGCCAATGAGATTTAAAAAAAAAAAAAAAAAAAAAAAAAAAAAATCTTGCCATGGGCCAGATCAATTAGAACATTTTGTGAGGTCCAAGCCCTGTAATTCATCAACCCCAATACTCAGTTAAACTACATTCAACAAACTGGTGCTGTCAGTTGTTTACAGCACCCTCCCGCAGCCCCCCTCCAAAAAAAAACAAACAAGTCCACCATGAATGAATCTAGAGATGTCAGGAATGACTGCTGGTCACAATTGGTGCACAGTTCCATAGCACAACCTGTGATGGCAAACACCATTTTCCAAACAGCCACATCCATTTACACTGATAGAGCCATGGTTCAGATTTATTGCCTTGTCCATGCAAACAGCTATGGTAGCATTTCAAACCACCATAGCAAATAGACAGAACTGTCCGCACGCAGCATGCCCATGGGGTGAAATAGTGCAGCTGCAGAGCTCAGCAGTAAATAATAACAGAGGAACAATGAAGGCTTTGGAGAATCAGCTCACAGGAGAAAAAGAGATGTTCCCAAAGGGAACTTGAAGTGAGGCAAAGATGAAGAAACTGGAAAGCTTTCAGAGGGGAGCATGCCCGAGAGTAGGAAATGACTCAGATGCTCTTGGTATGGGGGGACTGTTTTGGAGAATTTTGTCAAAGGAAAGAAAAGGCAGTATCTGTGATACTTCCAGGAGTAAAATCTCTTCTCTTAAAGCCACTTGTGCGGCTGCATGAAGGAGCCCAGCTGTACTTAGGATCAAGACTTAAAAACTGGGGCTGTTCGCTGCTGTTCTCAGTGAAGTTTGCTAGTTTGCTCAAAGGGGCCTGCATGCTCTTCTGCTTTTGCCTCCTCTTATGTCAACCTAATCACTCAATATTTCCTGGATAACCAATAACCAGCATAGCAACACATACCACCTCTGATAAACCGTTTGCTCAGCAATCTGCCTGCATCTGTAACCAACTGCAAAGGATCCCTTTACCTTTTATCCCTCTGTCCCCTTCCCCTAAAACAAATACCATCCATTTTGTGGCTGATTAGCCAAAGCAGTAAGCAGTGTGCTGCTTTGCTCACAGATATGTGGGAAATCAATGAGAAGGAATTGGGAAATGATCATTCTTTTGGTTTTTTATGCTGGCAGCTTTGAAGCTTTCTTAGCTTCTAGCCTTCTAGCCTTGCTAGAATTAATGCTGTCTTCATGTCACTTACATCTCTGCTTAGAGGCTTGTACAACTTGCATGTTAAAGTAGATTGTCCCATTAGAGTGCCGGCTCAAAATGAGCCTGTCTGTGGCCTGGATCACCATCCTGATCCAGTGAAAGAGGCTAGAACTTTCCGGACTCTTTCTGCCTCCCTAAACCTTCACGCAAGACAGTGAGATCAGATGATACATATTTATAATACAGCCCGCCTGACACATTCCAGGGAGCCTGAGACACGGCAAGTTCAGAGAGCTAAATTAAACGGAGTTGAAAAGGTTGGCAGAACAAATAC